CAACATTGGCCTTTGCCTCCAGCGATGAGACATCATACTTCTCATTTTTACGATGATCCTCCTCCACACGCAGTTTGAGAATCAACTGATCCATGCTCATGTCTTCAGTTAGATGCTTCAGATAAATCTTGAAGTCCTTCCAATTCGAAGGCAGTTTCTCTATGATAGAGCCAACCACAAAACCTTCTTTCAAACCAAGATTTTCTTCATCTAACTCATGAACAATCACTTGGAGTTCTTCAACTTGCTTGACAACAGACTTGGTGTCACTCATCTTGTAATTCAGAAATTTTCCAATTACAAACTTCTTGGAACTTGCCACTTCAGACTTGTACTTCTTATCCAGAGACTCCCACAGTTCTTTCGTTGTCTTATATCATGAATAAACATCATACAGAGAGTCATCTAGCGCATTCAGAATGTAGTTCTTGCATAGAAATTCATTGTGAGTCCAGGCTTCTATAGCCTGCAGAATTTCGGCAGGAATGTCTCCCTCTTCTGGTGCTTTGGGGGACTCAGAAGTAATCACATGACTCAAGTTCAGAGTTGTTAAGTAGAACAACATCTTCTGTTGCCAACGTTTGAAATCAACTCCCTTGAACTTCTCAGGTTTCTCAACATGTTGCTTGACGACACCAACATTTGATTGATCCATAATTTCTGTCTTAGATTGTTAGAACCAATCAAACGTTAAGTATATATTATACAACAATTTGCACAGTTTTATTTCAAATGGTAAAACTCAACAACAAATACAATATATTAAAACATAAACACTTAGTGTAATTATATATAAAATCACAAATCACTGACTTATTCTTTGACGATAGAGGCTTGCAGAGCAATCTCCTAAGACAGAAATTCGTCCCTACACTAGTGCAGCAGTTCGATGGACGTCTATCTTGCAGGATACAACTATCTAATCCAAGTTCTTGCACTCGAACTTGGATTCTTGGCGAATTGGTTGTGTGGTTCTCAGCGAAATATGGTGGAATGAATTTGGAAAAACGTGATCCTTGTTTCTGATTTTATTGCCCTATATATAATGGCATGATGTGAACTTATCCAACCATTCATGCTTATCAGTCCAAGGCCCATCTTTGACATTTAATATATACACCCAAACTCTCCAATTCTAAGGCACAAGGTCCATGGCTTTAGCCCAATTCTTTTCAAACTATAAGTGAGTGAACTCACTTATAAAGACTTAATATAATAGATGTTTGGGCGATGTGGGACTCCAAGTCCCACATAAAACACAAGTTCCAACATAAATTGTGGTGGAGTATTTCTGCTTAGGTTGCAGATGATTTTCTAGATTTCAAGGAGGCCGAATCCATGAAAGTGATGTGATGAGTCAGCGTTTGTCTTAACCATTGACTTATGTAATCCATCATATTGCAGACTTGCTCTGATCAAAATTTAAGGAGTGCAGGTATACTATATGCCCTCTACTTGGGAAGATATGTATGTATGTATGTATGTATGTACGAGTGGATTCATTATATGCTGGTATATTATCGACACCGTGAGAAAGGAAAACTCGAATTGGAGAGGTGATTAACAATGCGATCGGAGATGAATAAAAAGAAAGTTTACATCTTTGCAATATAGGCAGCTGAGTTGGAAAATTGCTATGTTGTAGCAATAGCAGTCGTTGAGGCCAACAAGTGAGACCATACCAACCATTGCACCAGCTGGGTTTGACAAATAAACAAACAACCAATTTTATATTAGGAAAACTAATGAAAAGGGTTTGAAAATTTTGAGTTTTAACGGTAAAAACAAAATAAAGGGTAAAGTGAATACTATCAGGATTGACTTTTTAGTGTAAAAATGTGATTTTTTGTTAAAATGAACAATACCGTGAACAGTAACATGAACTTTTCGTTAAAAGTTCCTTTTATATTTGGTATGAACTCGTTTACATTTTATTGCCTTTTTCATAAATATTTCAGTGTGCTCAAAACACGAAATAATATCTAGTATTTGCACCATGACATATGATACAACTATTGTTTTGAGCACATTAAAAAATTTCTTAATCTCTCTAATAGAAGTAGGATCTATACATATGTATCTCATCTTTATTATATAACGATCATTTATGCAAATGGATCCCCATTTTTTCCAAAAAATGGGAATTAGGTGTGGGGCCAACTCCACATCGAACTTCAACGATTCAAATCGTTTATTTTGGAAGTCTCGATTTATAGATCATTATTGCAAAAATTCAGTTCAATCCGAAATCATTTGCCTATTTAATTATCAAAATAAAATTTCATTGTGTTTTATATAACAAAGTATTCGTTAATTTCTTTGAACTCAATTAGATGTCTTAAACATTTCTGATTTGATTAATATTTTGCAATGATAATCTATGAGGTGCAACTTGAAAAATAGACAGTTCGGATAGTTAAAGTTTGATATGGTGTAGATTCTACAACTAATCCTCATTTTTATAAAAAAAAAAAAAAATGGAAATCCCTTCCCTTAGACCAACTCCAATAGTGGGCTAAAAGCCAAATTACCCCTCAAAATTTCCCCCCAAACTCAATCCAACCCAAGGGGAAAATTTGGGATAAATGCTAAATGTTAAACCATAGCCAAATTCCCCCCAAAATTTAGTCCAAAAATCGGAGTGGACTCCACCCAATATTTAACGGAATTTAAATTTTTTTAGATTAAAATGTTCATAAAATTAATTTACGATAATCTACATATTTATTTTAAAAAAAAATTAATTTAACAAAAAAAAATAGCCTAAGTTCATTCTTTAATAATCCCGGGCTAAAATTTTAGGTTAGAACGGTTGGCGCAGAAAAGCTGTTTCTGGGCTAAAAGCTAAATTTTTCGGGCTAAAATATTTGGCTTTTAGTCTAACCATTGGAGATGGTCTTAAGGGAGCGTTTGTTGTACCGGACTATCTTGAACTGGACTAACTTTAGGGACTAAGCTGAATTGGCTTAGACTAGACTAAGCTGGACTAAATTAGTGAATCGTTTAGTGCAGTGTCTAACTAAGAGGCATGATAATGAAAAAAATATTATTCTCAATTTGGTGTTTGCTCGGAGAATGATTAAATTAATGTTTATTTTAATTTCTTTCTGATTAAAACTGTTATGAAGATTAATATTATCGGTTCCATATTTTTATGAAAATTAATCTTGTTGATTCGAAGTCTTTTAATATCAAACTAAAAGAAAATAAATAGTCTTTAATATCTATCTTGAAAATATCCAGATCCTTCTCCATCTTGGAAATATCAAAAACAAAAGTAAGGGTAAATCTCAGTTTATTACCCTCAAGTTTTGTGGTTTTCAACATTTAGTACATGAAGTTTTTTTTCGTCCAGAGTCATACCTAAAGTATTAATTTTGGGACAGTAAAATACATCCGTTAATCTAGTTGTTAAGTATTTCGTTAACTAATGACGTGGTGTCCATGTGGACAATGACTGGACACCAAGTGTCATTAAGGGGTCCACGTGAAAATTAAAAATTAAACAAAAAAAAAAAAACCAAAATTTCAAAATTCAAAACCGCCTTCCCATTCCTCCCGCAGCTGTCTCCCCATTCCTCCTTTTCCCAACCGCCTTCCTTATGTTTGGAAACGCCAGCAACTATCTCGGCACGTGCAAGCCCTTTTGGGAATCCAGTTCCTGTGGAATGGGAACACCATTTCCCCTTTTCTCCGCGCCCAATTTCTCCACCTGTGGAATTGACCTTGCGAAAGGGGTTCCTGATTCCACCTCACGAACCTTGCAAGATCTCTCAAAACACTCGAACCCAATACGCCGTTTTCGTGGTGGGCGGAGGTGCCTATGAATCCCTGCATCGACTGCAAGTCGTGGTGGGTGTTGGTGAAGTCGAAGATGTTCGTGTTGGTGTGCTTGGCCATGGCTAAGCCGAGGCAGAGGTTATGGCACCGATGTACTTGACGGCAATGTGGGTTAGGGTTTCGTGGATTTAAATCCAACTAATTGGGTCATTTGAGACTAGCTATGGTGAATTGGAACTCTGGTAGGGTCGGGTTTTGGATTGGAGGTGCTGGGCTTTGTTCGAGTTTTGGGATTTTGTGTCGTGTTTTGGATTTTTGGGACACGGTGGTGGTGGCGTTGGCGGATTGGAAGAAGATTTGGTGTTGGAAATGAGGAATGGGAAGGCGGTTTTGAATGTTGAAAATTTGGGGTTTTAATTTTTTTGAATTTTGAATTTCCACGTGGATCCTTTAATGACACGTGGTGCCAAGTCATTGTCCACATAGGCGCCACATCATTAGTTAACAGAAAATTTAACAGCTAGACTAACGGATGTATGAGACTGTCCCAAAATTAACACTTAACGTATGACTCTGGGACGAAAAGAATTTCATGTACTAAATGTTGAAAACCAAGAAACTTAAGGGTAGTAAACTGAGATTTACCCAAGGGCATAGCCCTTTTCTATGCGAAATAGTGCTCTGCAATTAAATCGTCTGCGGTAGGACAAAATCGATGACGGCTTCCAAAGGGTTTGTGGCGCCATTTTCATGCTGCTCAACCACACTGTGCTATTGCAGGGCTTCTATTTCTTCGTCAAAGGGGGTAGATAAAGGTCTCCGTACGACCCACCTAGCATTTTGACAACTACCCACTTTTTATCTCTGCAATTACAGAGCTCTGAAAACCCTAGAGGGAAATTGAAGCTTATGGATTGATGTGAATTTGGGCGGGTTTGACGGGGAGGTGGAAAATAAGAAGAGGATTTTTGGGGGAAATCGGTGAAATCAAGGTTTTGGGGTCTGAATTTGTGGTGAGATTTACATATTGACTGGGATTCTTAAGAGAAGGAAGGAAACGAAGCTCATTCAAGGAAATGAAGAAGGAGGTGCTTAGTGAGGTCCTTAGCAATTCCAAGGTTCAGCAGGTGACTAATTTGACAACCTAACAAAGCCCCGAGTCCAACCGAGTGAAGGCTAGTCTCATTTAACTTAGTCCCTAATCATAACAAACATGAGATAATAATCCTGTATAGTCCACTCTCACTTAAGAAGGTAAAACAAACACATCCTAAAGATTTTCACGGTTACAAAATATGGTATGAAAAATATGATAAGAAAAACATTTGATTCAAAATTACATCTTTACCCCAAAAAAGAATGAAATTTCGTTCTTTCTAATGTTGTTTGTACGCCAACAAAAGATGCAAAGATCGAAACTGGCAGGTGCCAATCATAAACAGACCAAAAGTTTCTGGAAGCAAAACTGCAAAACACACACTTCCCTCGCAAGGCTCTCGAATCTCACTCAATCCCTCCACGGCCAACCAACGGCCAACCCGAAACCCTCCCACTACAGCTCGAGACCCGGAGCCGCGAACTCGACTCCAACCAACCCGAAACAAGCCCACCGGAGTCACCGCGATGAGACCGATTGTGCCACTCCAAGGCGTCGTCCAAGGCAGAGGCGGCCTCATCCTCGGCTCTCTAATCCCATGTGCTCTCTATTACTGCATCCAGCTCTACCTCAAACGATGCCAATCCACCTTCCCCCTCCCAGTCCTCCTCCAACCTGGCGGAGCTCCCCAGAACGCTGTCGCGGTCCAGCTTGTCCACCCGCGGGTCCATGGGCCGGGTCCGGATGTCCTCCCGGGCGAGCTGGGTTGCGAAGCCCAATGACTCGCCGTACTATATCGGGTTGGATAGGGCTTCGGAGGACCCGTACTACAGGGTGGATAATCCGGATGGAGTTATTCAATTCGGATTGTCCGAGAACAGGATGAGATTTTGTTGGGTTTTGTGTAATTTACGTTTTCGCAGGGGAGTTTATGTAAAGTTCGACTTTTTAATTTTTCTGGGTGTGGTTGCAGCTGTGTTTGGATTTGATTGAGAAATGGGTTTCGGAGAATTTGATGGAATCGATGGTGGGAACGGACGGTGGTGATTTGAGATAAGTGGGATTGCAGAGTACCAGCCGTTTGATGGAATGACTGAACTGAAAGTGGTATGATTGTAAAGTGCTAGTACTGTTCATTTTAACAAAAAATCATATTTTAAAATTAAAAAGTCAATTAAAACTTAAAATTTTTAAATCATTTTTATTAGGTTTTCTTTGAATTTTTGTAGCCGTTTGTTCTTTCATCATATTGATTCATGAGAGTGAAGCATGTGGCCTGTAAATATTTGTGACTGTAGTCATTCTACTTTCTGATTTTGAAGAAAATTGAGTGTAACAAGCTCATAGCCAGCCTCTACCTTTTCGTAGGTGGCGGAGAATTCTGTGATTTCTCGTAAAGTTTCCCGAGCTTTTTCGTAACTCTGAAATCAAGAGTCGGAAAATGGGACAGGTTAGAAAACTAGACCACCAAACAATTAGAACAAAAGATACATTGATGACAACAGAAACATCAAATTCAGTTTGCTTGGCCAACTGACTCGCCATGGGTTTCATTAACGCTGAACTCCTTGATAGATGTGGTGACTTACCTGGGAACTTCAGTTTGGTTTTTGAAGTGCCTTGAGCCATGTGATTAGAAAACTCTAATTGTGTCAAAACATGATTCATGAAATTTCTATAATCCACAAAATCTACTCTTTGATTAACAAAATATCTTGGAGATTACAAATTAATATAAAGAATATAAAATAGTAAAGAATTGGTAAAGATCAAAAACAGTAAAAATTTAATATTTTAACTTCAATTATTAAAATGAGGTTGAAAAGAGCAGACGGTTTATCATTTTTCTAGAGAAAATTAATTGGATAGGATAATTTTATTGCAACCACCAATAAAATTACAAGGAAAATGTACGACTGAACGACGCAAAGAAAACAGAAGAGAAAGAGCCCCTCCCAGTCAACCTGCAACAGAAACTAGGATACCACAGCCAACAACCAACTCTTAAACCAAAACATGTCCCATTCCCATGCTTGGTTTCACAAGTTGGAATCAAGCATTCGACCAAAGAGAAAAGCTGGAATCACGCAGGGCATGACTTTCAAATGCACCCCATCTTGGTCTGACCTTGTAACTAAAACTAACATTTTTTATATGTTCAACAATCCAATAATGTTGGCCATTTTTTGGATCCATCTGCCGCGTAAACTCCTTTGGCATGTCACAGAAATTAAGATATGTCAGATTCCGGAGATGGTGGATGCCAGAGGGCACCTCCTTCAGTTCTGGGGAAGGTCCAACGTGAAACTCTTGCAGAAGAGGCATGACCCCATTGGCTATGATCAACGAATTTAGTCCCTCCATTTCCCTGAGTCCTAGCACTCTAAGTTTCTGAAATCCTCCTTCCTCAAAATGCAGCTGCACACCATCATAGGCATTGATAGCCAAAACTAGCTCCAACAGATTAGGTAGATTTTGAAGGGCTTTTAGTGGGGAATCTCTCAATCTTGACCAAAACATGGTTATCTTGACTAGGTGTTGAAGATTTGAAATCCAACCTGGCAACTGCTCTAAACGCCCTATTAAGCGGAGAGCACGGATAAATTGTGGTGGAGTTGAAATGGATTCTAGATCAAGGACTTCATCTTCATTTACTGCAGTTAAAATTAGAGATTCAAGGTGTTTCATCTTTTCAACAGAAGCACACACGGCCCTTCCATCTTCACTTTTCAAGTTTTTTAGGCCTAACTTCCGCAGCTGTCGTAACTTTCCCAGTTCTTTGATTAGCCTCATCCCTCCATGATTCGCCTCCACATAGGACAGTTTTTGCAAAGCTTGTAAGCATCCAATACCTTCATGTATCTTCACTCCTTTTTCCATATTCAAGAACAAGCCCACGTCATAGTTGTAGTCACGATGGTGGGCCAAAAGATGCCGTAGCTTAACAAGCTTATTGATCTTGGCTGGTATTTCATACACCAGAGATTGTTTTAGATCCAGGGTTTCCAAGTTTTGTAGATTGCCTATGGAGTCTGGAAGCAACTTCACCTTTGTATTCCTCAGGCTTAAGTACGTCAAGAGATACAAATCCCCCACATATTTCGGAAGCTGATTGATTGGAGCATCCATGAAATCCAATACTTTCAGAAGTTTAAAGTTTCCACTCAATGTATCGAGAAAAGACTCGGGCCATTCTTCTAGGTTGAAAGTAAATACAGAACGAATATGAGATTGTGTAATGCTTCCCAGGGCCTCAGAGGGACTGATGTCCATTGAGAGACGTCGAGTTGTTGGTTTAAAACTCGACTCGTCTTTTGATAACACATGACAGAAGCTCGAATCCAACCCCTTCTCAAGGAGGACACCGTGCACTAGATCATGAACTCTACAACCTCGAGCTTTTCCATCAATGTAAACTTCTGAAACTTGGACCAGGCTTCTGTGAATTAGCTCTATCAAGTATTCCTCTCCAACCTCTTCTAGTGTCTTGCCCCTCTTCGGTTTCACAAAGCCTTCAGCGATCCACAACCGAACTAATCTTATGCAATTAACTGAGTAATCCTCGGGAAAGATGCCAAAGTATAATACACACAATTTGAGGTAATACGGTAGATGGTGATAGCTGAGGGATAGGATTCTTGTGAGGCTTGTAAGGTGGGGATTGCTTTCTAACTCTGAACTCAAGCTATTGTATAACTTCTGCCATTCAGACACAACTTTAGCTTTGGTTGACAGCAGACCACCTATGGAAACAATTGCCAAAGGTAGTCCTTCGCATCTTTTGACGAAGTTAAGCGACAACTCGTCCAACTCTTCAGGACACTTTCCCTCCAATTCGAACTGAAATGCCTTTCTACGAAACAATTCCCATGCCTTGTCTTGAGGCAGATGCTGCAAGTGATGAACATGAACAAAACAATATCTTTTGCAAAAGTTGGCAACATCTTGAATCCGTGTAGTGATAATTATTCGTCCGCCTTTATTATCGAGTAAAGCATATTCTATAGACCCCCAAAAATCTACTTTCCACACATCATCAAACACAACAACGTACCTCTTTTGCTGCAAATACTCTCTTGATGTGCTAATCAGGGACTCCTTATCCATTGTGTCAATTTCCTCTGGGAAACGCTCCTTCCTGGAACTGTAGAACTTTTTGATTACCGTCCTCAGAAGATCCTCAACCCTGTACGACTGGGACACCGTAATCCAAGCATAGCAATCAAAGTGCCCCATCACCTTCGGCTGGTCATATACTTTCTTGGCAAGAGTGGTTTTCCCAAGTCCTCCCATGCCAACCACTGATATCACTTCACGTCTCCGTGCTCCTTCTACCAACAAACGAGTTAGCTCATCTCTGGCAGATTCAATCCCCACGATTTCAGCTTCCTCAATGAAAAGAGAAGCCACTCGAGGGTCGTTCCATGGTAGAGTCGTTTCTCCACTGATCTGGCCTTGCTGATCAAGGGATTTGAATCCATATCTTTCACTTCTCTCCTTGATTTCACGAACCAATTCTTTTATACCGTCAACTTTCAAAACTATCCCATCCTGTGATCTCATTTTTTTAGCCAACCGGATAATTTTGTGGAAAAAACGAAGGAATCCATGGTGTTGATGATGCCGTAAGATGCGGAGCAAATATTCATCAATGACATCTTCGATGTCAAAAGCTGCTTTTCTTACATGATTGACCCAAGTTTTGAAAACGTCATTCGAAGTCTCTCCATCTGCTGCTGCAGCCTTAGCATCTGCTTCTTTGAGGAATGATCGGATGCTCTCGAGTTCATCTTTGATGAAACGAACTTCAGTATGTGCATTTCTCGAACGGTTTGCTTCTATGGTGATGAGTAGTTGAATTAACTTGTCGATCACAAAGCATACTATCTGTTCCGCCATTTTGTATCCTGCCGTTTTCTGGCAGACGAAGCATCTATAATTGATGAATATTTGCTCAATTATATGAAATTTTGAACATTTTAGAATTCTGTGTGCAGTATTTCTGGTTAGGCTGTAGACGGAAGAGGATCCTCTCCGGATTTTCTGTGCGGGAATTATAGAGATCCTCACGTTCTAATTGTTCATCATACATCGTGCGATTAGTTTTTGTTACATACTATTTATGTTTAATTTTAAATAAAAAAAATCAAATAATTTCTGACCACACGATGCACGATAAATGATTAAGATATGAGAATCTCTAACATTCCTACATTTTGAATCCGAGTGGAATCCGAATCCGTTGCAGACGACTTTCTGAATTGCAAGGTGAATTAAAACATGAAAGTGATGTGACAAGGCAGCGATTGGCTCATATTGAATTATAATGTGATATGGCAACGATTGAATTGAATTATGATGTGATATGGCAACGATTGGCTCATATTGAATTAGGTAATTCATAAGGAAAAGAATCCTCTCCGAATCTCTTTCTCATAATCCATCAAATTAAGAAATTTGTGTCGTTAAAATTTGATTAAACGGTTACAAATAGGGATCCACTTTAGAAGTTATAATAACTTTAATCATTTGATCAAATTTCAACAACACAGATTTCCTGCTTTGATGAATTAGAAGGAAAAGATCAAGAGAAAATCGTTTTCCAATCCATCATATCATATTGCAAACTTGTTCTGATTCAATTTTCAATAATTCAAGAACTGCTAGTATATTATGGAAGGGGATCTAGAGAGGATATCTTCCATCTAATCCTCTTCATTAAATAATCTGGATTCTTAAAAGTTGAGCCAACGATCACAAACAGAGGTTCACTTTAAAAATTATAATAACTTTAGCTGTTGAATCAAATTTCAAGAGTCACGATTGTTTGATGAGAAAAATTAGGTGGAAAGGATTCAGAGAGGATCCCTTTCTGTATATTATGCCCTGAACTTAGAATGATATATGAATATGAGGAGAAATTTTTTAATATAACTAAAATACAGGACAAAGCATCACATGTCATTATACAAGGCACACCAAAAAAGTGAGACCAAACCAACCAATGCACCAGCTGGCAGCTGGTAATTGCATGGTTAAGAGCAACTCCAGCGTTGGAGCCCTCCCCCTGGCAATACACTATTCAATCCACCTAATGAACAGTAACTGCCCTTAGTGAACAGTAAGTAGCTCTGGCAATAGAATTTGCATCTCCACCGTTACACTTCAATAACCCTGGCAATAGGCAATAAAATATTAGTATTTTGTTTATTTATAAAATAATACAAAATAATTTTAATTGTAATATCGGATAAGATTTTTAATCGTTCTCGTTGCGTCATGTGTCATTATCCGAAGTATTATTAAATAATACAAAATAATACAATTATTGGTGA